CCGCGGTCCCTGATGCTTTGCTAAGCTAGTTCCAAGTAGGTGCTTTAGACCACTGAGCCATCTCTCCAGCCCTGTAATAATTTCTGTTTAGGACACCCATATAATAACTATATTGCCTAAAACAGTTATACCAAGAAAATGTAAACTGGAAGTCTCGTAGATAAATTATGACCATGCTGTCTCTGTTTCCAAAACCTAGCATGTATTAGGCACTTGGTAAATGTCTCTTTAAGTTAAAGACATTTTTATTCAGCTCTTTGACTACAGTAAAAAACACTGGTAGTTGTCAGGTGATTATGAGTTTGACACATTATAAAGGAAAAATACGAAATTTAAGTACAAGCTTGCCTAGGGTTGTGCCTTTAAGCTGACAGTTTCTTTAGTGCCTTTTTTTGTTGTTGTTTTTTTGTTTTTGAAGAACTAGGGATACCCTAGAAATAAATATATAAAAACTATTTTAAAAATCACTTTTATTATCCCTCAGAACAGAAAATAGAAATAAGAGTACCAAATAAAAGTCATTCTGGTTAAAATGAGATATTATCAGTATGAAAGAAAAATAAAAGTAAGCAAATTGTGACTGTCTGAAATGATTCTTCAAAATCAACAGTGATTTAAGAATTCTGGTTGGAGCCAGGTGCAGAGGTGGACACCTGTATTTCTAGTTATTTGCAAGGTTGAGGAAGAGGATCCCAAGTTCAAGGCTAGCCTGGGCAACTTGAGGAAACTCTGTCTGAAATAAAATAAGAAGTGCTGGAGGTACAGGTCAGTGCTTGCTTAGCTTGCACAGATCTCTACGTTCAATCCCTAGTACCACACACAGAGTTCTGACTGCAAAGTGAATTTTTGTTTATAGAATGAAACTCAAAATGAGATTCAAGAGTTGTTATAACCACATATCATTTGGAGAAAACTCTTACAGTAACTGATTTATCCGTAGTTAACTCAGGAACAAAACACAAAATTCATGTATTGATGCCCATCTATTGCAAATACTGACTTTGCTAATAGTTTAAAAACATTTTGTGACCTAATTTATGTAATACAAAAAAAATTGACTAGTCATGTTTTCTGCTTTCTAAAGCAAAGTGTATTTTTAAAATATCAATAGCACAGGTTCTTTAGTCTTGACAAATATAAATTGCTTTCTGAAGTAGAGCTTTTATTAGAAGTACCTTCATTTTTCTATACTTAAAAATATAACTTGGACTTTGCATCTTTTTTCAGGATGTTCTTGAAGAGAGAATTTCCCTGGAAGTTCAACTGGAACAACTTCGACCATTCTCTCACCTTTAAGCCAATTGCCGTTAACTGTGAACATGCCCATTTTTAAGCAGTTTGGGGTTTGAAGCCAATTTGGAGACCTAGACATTCAGCTCACTGCTTAAGTCAACATTAAATTTTATGATTCTGTTTTGCCCTATATGTTCACCGTTGTATTTAAGTATCTTTTATTTTTTAATTTCAACAATAAAAGGGTCAGGATGACTTTTTCTGGAGGGTATATTGTGTTTGTTGGCAAGCTACATGTAGTATTAAGAGTATGTAATATGGATCATTGTGTTTTTATGGCCAAAACCATACTCTGGTTTGATTTAGGATGAACTTCTCATTTATATCTCAAGCACAAACCCAGAAATAAGGAAAATTAAATAATGTGTCAGTTTGTCCTCTCCAGGTTTAATATTCTATACAATAATTATAACAAACTTTAAACTAAGTTCGCTGTTTAACTTTGTATTTTAGAGAACTATGGGATAAGACAGTTTTTATCAGATGCTAATACACTAGACAAGTCTTCCTTTCCACAGTAATCAACATCTTCAGAAGTCAAACAATACTTCAAGCTTCTACATATCATATTGGGGGATCAGCATAGATCAGCTTTATATTCCCTTGTCAGAATTTGATCAGCTTCATTAGTGATTCTGTGTGTGTGTGTGTGTGTGTGTGTGTGTTTAATTTCATTTTGTGGGAGGGAGTTCTGAGAATTGACCTCAGGACATTGTACTTGCCAGGCAGCCACTATGCTGTTGAGCTATGTCCCTGAATCAAGAGAGATTTTTAATTCAGCAGCAGTCAGCTACCTATGAAGACAAGTCTTCCCTAAGTGTTCCCTCAGGGCAAAAACGAAGTGTCAAACATCTGTGTATGCAGTGCCCACTAGGAAACATCACAGCTTTTATGCAATTGAGGCACATTTTACAGAGATTATTTTCAAGTTTTTCTTAATCTGAGGACATCAGTAATTCCTAGAAGAAATAGAAGTTCCCCAAGATTTCCAATTTACCTTAAGCTGTCTCATTGCTCATTCAACAGTTTCTGGAATGTGCCTTGCTCAGGATAAAACATGGTTTTGGGGTTTATTTTATGTATTATACACTGATCACATTTGTGCAATCTGGATTCATTGCCGAGTAACATCTTCCTTTCAGGTTTATTCTAAGGGATCAGACATTAAGTAGCATAGATGTATCTTAATAGAATCAGAAGTGGGGTTTTACATTAATATAGTACAATCTTTTTAACTTTTGTATATTTATAACAAGATTCAGAGAATCAGAAGGAATTTGTAGTTTCATTGGTGAAAGACTATGTTGAAGCAGTTTCAGATTTACAAACCTCAGATTATACCCAAAATATTTTTAATACTTTAAGAGATTACATAGAAAAAATGAAAGGGACAAACTAAATCCTCCAAGACTAATACATGTTATCCTTTTTATAACATTAAGTAGGTAAAAATACTACCACTGCATACGTCAGCTCCCTTCCAGGTGGCCAGCAGGTTATAGGTACAGTTTGTTAAACGTCAAAGGTTTTAACACATTCAAAATGGGGCTCCAGTTTGTAAGTCTTGCTTCTAGGTGGCTCTACATGCATGACTGTCCTATCAGGTGACATGGGACAGTCATGGGTCAACCACTGGTGGCTCAAGCTGGTAAGAATGTGTTGAAGGCCTAGAGAACTTTATTTGATTTTATTTTCCCATAATTTTATTGAGAAACAAGTAGCAATGAGACATTTTCAAATCAAATTGGTAGGACAGCTTCAATAATTAACACATTGCATACATTCTTCCTAGTGGTTAATTGCTGTACAAGATGCAGACATGATATCCTATTTACAAACACTATTAGAACAAATCCCTCTATTCATTAAGAGAATGTAACTACATATCTATCCTAACTATTTTGAATACACAGATACAAAATGGACATTTCATCTGTATCCCCTTTTTTTGTTTAGCTCCATTATTTGAATATTATAGGTGTGTTAACTCAGCAAAATATTCTAAAAGAGTCCAGTAGTCCATAATAGTATTGGGTCTTCTGCTTCACTGGCAATGTCAGAAATTGTTGGCCTGAGTCCCCTACAACTCAACATAACACCATGGATTTACATCTTCTACTTCGTTTTTATACTTTTCTGCTGGATGGTTAAGACAAAGATAAAGCAAGACCTATGCAACAAGAGTTGTAGCTTTTGGGTCTGATAAGGTCAGTGAAATCCCCTCAGGATTCATCCTGAGATTGTTTACCTCAGATTGTAGACCCTTTGTCAGTGTCAGCCATGTGGATGAGTCACTGCCATTGCTTGGCCAATGTGCTCTCTGCGAAAGTCTGAGAGAATGTTTTCTCTCCATGTGACTCTCCTTACGCACACTCTACATCATCGATCACTTTCCTCTTTGGCCCCATAATCTCCTTGATCAGAAAGTTTGGCACACTACTGAGTTACATGATGTTACAGTACAAGTTCTCATATGTCCTGAGTCTTAATTGACCTTGGAAGGCTAGGGCCAAAATGTTGGCTTTCCTTGCAGCCCTCCTTTTTCTCTAATTTTGGTCTGCAGACATAGGTTGTTAATCCTCCAGAAGATAAGCTTATTGTTATTACCACACAACCTAGGCTGTTAAGCTTAAGCTCACTATCTGTCTGCATATCAAACATCTTAGGCATAACATGGAACAGGTATTTTTCCTCAAGTATTGATACGTTGAACTTTAAGTCCTTACAGAATATGATTAAAAAACACTTAAAAATTAGAATATATTTTTAAAATAGGCACAAAGAATTATATAATTCTTGTGTAAGTCAAAAAAAATAACCATATACAATCTTGAAGCAGGACAGACCCACAACATTCCGTTTCCTCTCTCCTGCCTTCACCACCCCCTTCTTTTTGAACAATCATCTACCCAAGAGACACCACAGCAGCAACTGTCATGTCATGACAAGCAGCCCATATTCAGAAGACCAGAATGACAAGCACTCCAAGCATGAACCTACTGTTACAAATTGCCAACTTCAGTGCAGTTGCTTAGTTCACAAGTGTCAGTATATATAGTCAGGGTGAGAATCTTTCCAATTAACTGCTAGATTCAAAAATCTTCGGGAGATTCTCAGTATCATTGCCTTGCCCATCTTCTATATATAACTATATGGCTTGTTACTGTCATGTTTCCTAGCTCTTCCACATTCCCTCTCTTAATTAGTCCTCGAGTTCTTGCTTTCCTTTTACTTGTGTTACACCTTTCTATTTGTATTTCTTCTTTTGTTGTTCTTATGCTAGAGAAACGATGCAATATTTACACATGTGTGTCTGGTTTATTTCACTTATGAATATATGTTCAAGTGGCATCCACTTCACTATGAAGGCTTGCAGTTTATCATTCTTAATAGCTGAATAATACTCCATTGTATAAAAATACCACATCTGTTTCATCCATTCCTCATGTGATGCGCATCTTGGTTGTTTCCAAGATTTGGCTGTCACAAATTGTGCTGCTATAAACATAGGCACAAATATCACTATGATATGATGTTTTCAGATCCTCCGGGAAAATTCCCAGTGGAGGAATAGCTGGTTTAAATGGGATTTCCACTCCAAGTTTTCTAAAGAGTCTCCAGACTCATTTCCATAACGGTTGCACCAGTCTACATTCCCCGCAGCAGTGGAGAAGGGTTCCTTTTCCCCCACAGCCTCTCCAGCATTTGTTGTTGGTTGATTTCTTTATGATAGCCATTCTTTCTGGGGTGAGATGATATCTCAATGTTGTTTTAATTTGCATTTCACGGATGG